GAGTTATGAGACGTGGAGACTAAATAGTTTCCGCGACCAAGTGTGCACGAGGATGTATGAATACAGAGAGAAACTCTTCCTCGCTCTCGCGAGCTTTTTGCCTTTGGTGCCCGATTCCCTCCGCCCCTTCTCTTCCCCTTCGATCCCCTTCTGTCTTGCCACCGAAGGACAAGGATTGGTCGGGTTTGGTGGAGGGCACTTCGCTACACGCATCGGTCAAAACCCGCCGCCGGCTAAAGACGCCCAAGGCCAGCCCGCTTGCCGTCAATCCCCTCCCCGACCCCCGCCTCCCCCCCAGAGACGTTAGAAGCTCTGCGATGGGAAATATCAAAGGCAGGGGAGACCAGCGAGCCCACCAGCTGCGTTGGTTTTGATTTAGGAGGCCTTTTGGCTGCGAGGCCCCAAGGCGGATTTGGGAAAAAACCAAGTCCGATTGATAGTTTCACCGCCCCACAGACAGACGTGGCCTCGGGAGTGACCCGAGGCCGCCATGTGCGTTCAAGTGTCGATGTTCAATGTGTCCTGATTACATTAATTCACGCAGCGGGCTGGCTCTTCATCGACCCCCGAGCCGAGTGACCACCACTTAGAGTTGTCAATAGCCAAAAAGTGATTCGGCCGGTCGAGGCGCGCAACGAGGTAGCCTGACGCACCGAGGAAGAAAAGCCGAGAGACTTTGCCTGCTCCCGACCCTTCCTCGTCAAAATAAGGATTTCGTATACGTGAGAAGTACATACTCGGGTCAAATGAACAATGACCGACGACTGCCTACGTGTTTTTTGCGACCTTCCCCTTTAAAGCCCGGGTCGCGGTCTGAGCTCGTCTAATTAAGGCGACGGAGCCTGTTACGGGCCGCCCACTGCCCAAAGGGTCTCGGTACCACCGAAAAAGACAAACGTTTTCTTCTCATCATCCGGCGACCCGGTACGGGGTCCGGGGTTTGACGTCACATCTCACCATGAATGGTTTGCCAAAAGGTTGCTCCCTTGTCTTTTTTTTTAATATCCTTCCGCAGGTTCACCTAAAAAACCTTGTTACGACTTTTACTTCCTCTAATAGTACAGTTTGCCCTTCTTCCCGGACAGCGACAACGCTTTGCCGCGCCGTCGGGACCAGTCCAAGGAGCTCACTAAACCATCCAATCGGTAGTAGCGACGGGCGGTGGTACAAAGGGCAGGGACGTAACAAGCGAGCTCGCGACTTGTGCTTACTGGAATTCCTCGTTCATGGGGTAATACACCCCCAATCCCTAGCACGAAGGAGGTTCAAAAACCCGCCTTTTCGGGCAGACATATACCTGTTGATTCCTTCAGTGTAGCGCGCGGCGGCCCCGAACATCTAAGGGCATCACAGACCTGTATCGCTCATCTCGTGTGGCTAAACGTCACTTGTCCCTCTAAGAAGTTGCACCGACTAATTAGATCGGTGAACTATTTAGTAGGTTAGAGTCTCGTTCGTTATCGGAATTAACCAGACAAATCGCTCCACCAACTAAAAGGCCAGCACCACCACCCACCAATCAGAAGAGCTCTCAATCTGTCAATCCTTACAGTGTTCGGGCGGTGAATTTCCTGGTCAGTCAAATTAAGCGCAGGCTCCACTCCGGCGGGCGCCCTTCCGTCAATTCCTTTAAGTTTCAGCTTCGCAACCAGCCCCCCGGAAACCCAAGATTGGTTTCCCGGGGGCTGCTCGCCGAGTCATTGAAGCAACTCGGCGGATGCTGGGCATCGTTTATGGTCAGTACGGCGGTACTCCATCGTCTTCGAATCTGCTTTCGTGACTAATGAAAACATGCTTGGAAATGCTTGCTGTAGGCCGTCTGGTGCGGTTTCGATTTACCTCACCCCGCCATATCATGCTCCCCCGTCAGTCCCTCTAACTTATACCTCGTGTTCCGAAAACCAACAAAATAGAACCAGGTCCTATTTCGATTTTTCCAGCACCATTGTGCAGGGCGAATTCCTGCTTCGAACACTCTAATTTTTTAAAAAGTAAAAGTTTCGGTCACCCGAAGAAACTCAGTCAAGAGCCCCAAAGGGTTTACAACCGAGAGGTTCGGGTCAGGACAGGCAGGACCGCAACGGGCCGGGCCCCAGCCTGGACCCGAGATCCAGCTAGAGCTTTTTAACTGCAGCAACTTTAATATACGCATTGAGCTGGAATTACCGCGGCTGGGCACAGACTTGCCCTCCAATGGATCTCGTTAAAGGATTTAAAGTGATATTCAATTACGGGGCCTCGAAGAGTCCGATTGTTATTTTTCTCACTACCTCCCCGTGCAGGAGTGGGTAATTGGGCCCTGCTGCCTTCCTTGGATGTGGTAGCCGTTTCTCAGCTCCTCTCCGGAATCGAACCTATTCCCCGTCACCCGTTACAACCATGGTAGGCATAGCACGACCATCGAAGTCTATAGGGCAGACATTTGAAAGACACGTCGCGGCAAGCCCGTGCGATCAGCTAAAGTTATCCAGAGTACCAAAAGGCATGGCCTTGCGACCGATTGGTTTTGATCTAATAAAAGCGCTTCCCGTGAGGTCGGAGCTTCGTTGCAATTAGCTCTAAATTACCACAGTTATCCAAGTAGGATTGTACCATCTAATGAACCATAACTGATTCCAGAGCCATTCGCGGTTTCACGTGCAAGAGTTTGAACTTAAGACCATGGCTTAGTTTTGACAGCATCATGACTACTGGCAGGACAACCAGATAAGGCCACTAAAAAGCGCACTTGAGCCGTGTCGTGCAGACGTCTATGCCATCGTCCACCTTCGCCACTGGCGAAGGGCGCCGTGACCGCCGTACTTTTCAATTCGTTGTCCCCCGTGGAGAGGGTTGTACTCTCCGTCGGGAGTCCGAGGGACTGGATTCGACGACGCTACTCAAAATAGGCCGCCCGCGTCTGCCCCAAGTCGGGGGAAGGCCCGGATGCGTGCGAAGCGGCCCGACCGCTGGACTACCGAAACGTCCAGGCCGACCGGCCACCGACGTTTTCCCGATGCCCGGGCGCTCCCCTCCTGCCGACGGAACCCTTTTGAAAAAAACAGGCGGCTTTTCCCGTAACCTGTGCTTGCTAACACGTTTCCCCTTTTAGATCGGTTGCTTTTAGATTTTGGCGAGTGTCACGCGGTCCCCTGGAGGGGGGGGGGTTGCTCCCCCCCCCAGAGAGGTTTTGGCGTGGGGAAACCAATTCCCCGGGACATGTAAAAACACATTTTGGGGTGGGGATCCCCCTTGGGGTTCACATCCCAGGGCAAGATCCCCACCCCCCAAACCCCCAGCCCCCCCTTCCAAACACCCCCAAAAAATGAAGATTTTTTTTTTTGAGGTTTTGCCGGGAAAAGCCCCGGAAATTTTTCCCCCTCCCCCCGAACAGTTCGTCCGAGTGGGGGGGGCGACTAGCCAGAGAGCTCCCCAAAATTCCCCTCCAAGGAGAGGCTGGTCTTCCGGGGGGGGGAGGTAGCGCAGGGTCTCGGGAAACTTTCCCCCCCAAAAATTAGTTTTCGCACCCCCTGTGGGTTAAAAACCCCAAAACTTTCCCTCCAGAGCCCCCGGAAACTGGGTTGTTTTTTCCCACCGTGGGGGTTTTTACCCGAGTCTCCGGAAATTTTTCCCCCTCCAAAGTCAGAAAGATTTGGTTTTAAAGGAGGGGGAGGTAGCGCAGACTTTTGTGAAAATTTTTCCCCCTAAAAGTAAGAGAACTTGGTTTTTTAAGCAAAACCGGGGACTTCCCCCAAACAGACACTGCTGGGGAAACCCCTTGGAAAATTTCCCCTCCAAAGCAGAGGAACCGGTTGTTTAGGGGGGGGACTCGCGACCTTAACGAAAATTTTTATTTTTTAACTAAATGAAATCATTTAACTTTTTAAAGTAAAAATATTTTATTGTTTAGGGAAATTTGAATTCCCCCTAAATAATCTGATGCCCTTTCAATATTAGTTACATTTCATTTTCCCCCCCCTGAGAGTCAGATAAAATTGATTTAAAATGTGTTAGGGATGTCTCTGGGAAACTTTTACTGAATGGTTTTCTCCTAAAAAAATTTAAACAGGAAGAAAACTAGTTTTGTCACCCTTGGATTTCAAATAGATCACGGTTATCAACATTTATTTTTTAAAATACACGAATATTAATAATTAAAAATGTTGGAAGTACAGGATATACAATGTTTCTAATTTATTTAAAATAAAATTATTAATTGTTCACCAGTACTTGACAATAATATCCAAAGTCGCATCTAAAATATAATGCATTTTAAGTGAATTTTCATATGTTGCAACTAGTATTGGCATAAGATTTAATGTTGAATGGTAAACATGAACTATACTCTATAATTTGTAGGTCATAGGAAAAGTAGTTAATAAACCCAACCCCAGTTTCTTTATTTTTCATTAACCCGTATTCTTAGAAATACAGGAGTTAAAAGTAATTTACCGGGGGTTCTGAAAGTGTAAAATAAGTAAACATTAACATTGCCTAATAATGTATGAAGAATGTGTGAATTCAAAATCACTTTTACATAATTCAAGTTCGCAAACTATGTCAAAAATTTAAGTCGCAACAAAAATGAGATATTAAGTGAATTGAGATTGTGCGATCTTCTTGTCCAATTTGGTTCGTTTAGGATCTAATTGTAAATTTTTGCTTTAAAAGTTGTTTATGACAAATGAAATATTCTTACTCTACTTGTTTTTCCTTTATTTCATGTTAGGTAACCCTGTATAAAAAAAAACACAGGGTAAATGAATTTTGCTTAAATCTGGGGTTAGAAAGTGTAAATTGTAACTTAAATAAAAGTAACTAATGCATGTTATTTTTGCAAAAAGTAGACAATGATGTTTAACTAGAATATAACTTATTCTAACTGTAATGCAAACAAAATCTAGCTTAGTCTAAAATGTTAGTTGCAAGTCCCTCTGAGAGTTCATTGAGGAAGTTTGGGTTGTACTTCCCCCCCGCGACATTGACTAAGCTTTGAGGATTTGCCGCTTCACGTGGGACGT